ATTGATTAAAATTTCAATAGAATATCAAAACGTCATACCTTGCAATAATAGGTATTGATGGTACTGAACTTTTAACGATATAAAGGTAAATTGTAAATTGTATTGACAATCCAGAATTTGTTATTTCTTTTTAAATTTTAAACTGCGACCATTCAATATCAAGATTTTTGTACTGTTTCAAATTAAGAATGTGTGAGTTTTGGCGACTTCGGTTCTGGTAGTAATCGAGGTTTAAGGTACTTCCATTGTTTTTTCTTCCGTGGTCCAGTCGGATCGATTTTTTCTTTGTGTTTGTTCGATCTTTGTATCAACAATAGTAACAAACGAGAGGAGTCTTTTTACAAAAAATAGATGACTGGTAGTAACATCAGGTATTCACTAAATAAATATTGCAAAAAATAATATCATCCACACTCTTGTCTTCCCCATCATTAGCATCATTCAGCCATACGACGCCCACTCACATGTAATTTACCAACACTATATATACTATCAAAGACAAAGGCCAGTGGTATCGCGTCTCTGATACAGTACAAATATGGAATTAAAAAAAAAAGAATAATAAGAAATAAGAAATATTTATGTACAATTCTAACACCTGAACTTAGAAAACTATTGAACTGAAACGTTTGAAAACATTTGAGATTAGTATTAGCATTGAATGCTATAATAACATAAATAGTTTCATCAAACTACGTAAATTTTGGAGAAATTCAGGATTCCAGATCGTTATCGACTATTATTTCAGAAACATCATGATATTCAATCAAAATCAATTTACTTTGTTTTAACTTTTCTGCACAATGTCGTTACGAAACAATTTTACGAGTACATCCATTGAAATATCGTACGTACGAATGTGTACATATTCTTATCATAAATTTATTTTTAAACTCAACATGAAATATAGAAAACGAGGTGGATGGTCATTAATTTCCCATCAATGCTCAATTTATGTGCTTACCGTGAAGTAATGTAGCTACATATGAATATTATAGAGTCCTTGACACCATACGACTTCTCAATCAAATTCGCATTTTCTAAAGGACTTGCTTTGTTGCTTATTGATGTGTTTCTTGCATCTCAGCCTTGGAACTTTAAAGAGTTATGTTAAAGAACTGGATACCTTTCACACTATCTGAACCCATCTTGCAATGCCACAGAAAGAAAAACAGATTTTTGGAAGTGCATCTGCAAAAGAAAGTTCTGATATTTAAATATATAAATATAAAGTCTTTGTTCTTCAATACAAAACACGGAACAATTAAAATAAAATAATAGCTTAATTCTATGTCGAAGAAATGCTGGTTTTCAGGCTTCACCTGGCAAGTATTCGCCGCTGGAGACACCGTAAAATGTAGAGGCAGGTATCTTTACGATTAAAGTATTACATAAACAAGAGGGTAACGTTACCCACTATACAGGTTCTTTGTAATATACTAACACACTAACAGGATTATATTACTAACTTCATAAACAATAATTTTTGTTCCATGACTTTTTACATGATGTAATAAATGTACCAAAAATATTTTAGTGTACCATCTGATACTTTTTAGGTCTGTGTTTTTAGGAACGCCCCCCGCGTGCGCGTGTCATTCATAAAAATAATTTTGTTATAATAGTGGATGCTTTCTTTTGCTACCGCACAGAGTTGTCACCATTAAGATCTGTTTTAATGTATGTTTATTATTGTACGAAAGTAAAATCGAAAGAATTATCAAAAGTCATGGAACAAAAGTTGTTGTTTGTGATTTCAGTAATATGGTACAGCGGGGTTGTTAGTATTTTAAAAATAAACATTATACATGAGAACATCGATCGATCGATCGAAGGATTTTTTTCTGGGTGTTTGATCTTTATATTGATAATTATAACAAACTAGTGGAGTAATTTCACATGAAAAATAATTAAATATCAATTCAATAAAAAATTTAAATACAGTGAATAGCGACGTCTCTAGCCGGGGCTGGTAGCTGTAAAGGTATCTAATTGGGTGATGAAATACTTTCATAGATTTCTCATAGATGGCGCTACGGCTAAAAAGTCGTTGAAAAACCAAATACAAAGGTACGACAACAAGTACATAGAAAAATTCGTGAGATCCGCTGGTTCGTTCCGGGGCTTAGTTCGTATAGCGTCTGGCACGGTATGCTAGACAGTGTTGCCAGGTCAAATCTGAAAAAAACAGTAGATTGAGGAAAAAGTATAGTAGATGCTGAACTTACACCGTAGTGTTTGAAACACTTTTAATAGATTTTCTTCAAACATTGTCACCTAATGTTTTTGGTGTTATTTTGATGTTGGTATCTGACAATAATAGTTGTATTTGGATAATAATACCATAGATCTTGCTGCTCCGCATTTTCTAGACCTGTGATTGACTAATATGCCAATGAAATACCTAATAATAAATAAGGACGATGTTCTATGATTTGACCACATTGTAAAGTTTTGCAAAAACTCCGACAAATGTTCAATATGGTCAGAGAGTCACAGTTGAGATCACGTTAATGTTAAATGCATGCACGTAAAAAAATTTTAGTAGATACATTTATGGACCTGCTAAAAAAACATCATTCAGTGGAGTGCATAAAGTTACCTATTATGTCCAATAAGAACAGTTTACGACATTTTTTATTTAATGTTGTCTACGCTTCCATTCCAAAAAGACGATTCACAAAATCTAAAAAGCCGACAAGAATAGTTGTGAAAAGTAAAAAATCTGAAAATTCCTAAAAAGACAGTAGATTTTCGCTAAAAAACAGATGTCGTCGAAAAACAGTAGATCTACTGGAAAAACAGTAGACCTGGCAACACTGATGCTAGATGCTAGAAAAAAAGTTAACACGGATTTGAATCGACGTGATTCAAATCCGGCCGGATCGAAGGAATTTTTTCTAAGTGTTCATCTTCGTATTTATAATTATAACTTATATATAACAAACTAGTGGAGTAATTTCACCTAAAAAAATTATTGAATATCAATTCAATAAAAAATTTAAATGTATAGAACATTTTTCTACAGAATTAACAATTAAATTATTAAACCATAGAGCCTCAAATGACATACGTACTGACCACCGCTAATACTACACTCAGCAGTAAAGAGTATTTGACTGTATATATAGAACACAAAAGACAGAGCACGGAATCTTATTTTTTTTAATTCCATATTTGTACTGAATCAGAGACGCGATACTATTGGCCTACATTTTGTCTTTGATAGTATATAAATAGTGTTGGTGAATTACATGTGAGTATGTTGGGAGTTAAGTGTGTGAGGAGTGTTTACTGAAAATACTTACTTCTACTGAATACTAACTAAGTACTGATTACTTTTTTATAATAAATATATTTTTATATCACTTTTAAATTGTTTTTTTATCTTTCTTTTTTCTGTTCTTTTTTCTTTTTGTTCTTTACATTTACACTTCAGAAACTTGTTGGCGTTGCCGTGGGCAGAACTCACGAAAGTTTATCTCAACCCGGATGAGTAATTATTGAAGACATACGGGGCGATCATACAAACAAACATTTGATATTTCATATAATTTTGTATTAGGGCGCGTTCAAATTAGCCGCTGTTAGATGCGCTGCAGCAGCGCAGCAGTACAATTTCTAGAAGCGCTGCAACCGCACTTCAGTCCGCTGCTGCAGCGCGTCTAACAGCGGCTAATTTGAACGCGCCCTCAAACCATCAAATTCTTACAGAGCGCTACTGCGGTGCTGATGAAAAGCATATTAAAAAAAATAATTTAAGGAATTTTCGCTGCATACTGCATACAGTATAGTCCTGTTTATCTGTTTTAATAACAGCACCCTTTGAGATTAGGTTCTAACGAGTGCCCTAATATGACTCGTCGAATTTTCTTTTAAATGCCCGATCACAAACAGATCAATAAAGTTGGTTTGGTATAAGAGGACTTTGGTCTCTCTTTACTTACTTGGTGCTTTTCGTTTAATGTTTCGTGTCGCTTTTGTTCGAATATTTTTACATTTTTATAGATAGTAGATCGCCCACACGACCTATGTAAAGGGAGCCTCACCCAACCTCTCCTCTTTTTCCTCTCGGTAACTAGTGGACAATAAAGCTGCAGTTTCTTCCACAGGGGAGACATTCTGCTATTTCTACGATTACTCTACTAGTTTTCCTATCTAGGACAACTAATAATGTAGTATAAGGTGTGATCTATTGCACATCATAATACTAGTGATAAGACAAGGTAGAGATCAGTATGCAACATCAAGCTATAATTGTCTATTGTTTATAATTGTGTTTGGAGCGCTGCATTGTTTTAATTGTGGCAGCCGGCATGCAGTTGCCAAAGAAGTCGTGCGCGCGCGATGACGTCACGTCTTGCGACTAATTAAGCCCGATTTGAGCAAAAGATTTAATCGTTTGTCCTATGACGGTTGACGCAATAAAAGTCTAAATTATTTAAAGTAAGTGATTGTTACCTAATTTGAAATTAAAACTGAAGTGACAATAATCATGAATGCAAGAGAGAGGCAGTATTTATTCTCTTTCATGTTAAACAAGCGGAATCAAATGATGAAAATAAAGAGTGTAGTTAAGTCAATGATTGTAGTAACAATATTTATGCTTTTCCACATTCTTTTGTTTTTTTGTTGTTGAAAGATAACTCAGCCAGAAGACAAACGCGAGTGTATCGACAACGGTTGAAAGATAAAAAGGGGTAACTACACGACTACGCGACTCTACGGCCATATAGCCCCTTTTAATTTTAAACTGTCGAATGAGTTACGTAGCTACAAAGTTACTAGTTCTAGGAACGGTACTCGCTACTCGATTTTATATGTTTAAAAATTCGAAATTCATTATTATTTAGCGTTAAATATAACAATGAACGTTCCTACCAACTCACAACCGCATTAACTTCTCTTCGACTTGGCGATGTGAAACTGAGCACACGTACGTGTGCACTTTCCAATCAATTTTAATACACAAGAAATTCGAAAGCAAATATTTTACTTACCGTTCGACTAGAGGCTGGACGTTGTCGAGGAACTCGAAGCCTGCGTGTGTCGTGTACGTGATGGTTTCATGGCAAGACAGCGCCCCGTGTTCCGCTCGCACATAGTTCTTCAGCATCCAATATTCCCCACGTTGCACTACCTCAGGCTCGAACTCCTTTTCAGTACACTGCACTAAAGTCCGCACCTTTGCCAAAGTGGTTGCACTCAAAACTGTGTCGTCTTGAGTCTCTTGGACACTCTCGTTCGTCGTAACCGTAGGCTCTGATGATACAACGCTGACGTTTTTCGTCAATGCCGTTACAGCAACAGTACTCGAGACAGTCTTGTTGGCGGCAACAGTCTTACTTACACTAGGAGTAGTCGACGGCGTCTTTTGCGATGTGTATTCGTCAGAACCTTGTATAATTGAATCAATTGACCTGACTTCTGTGTCGTTGACAATCCGTGGAGTTCTTAAAAGGTCGCCAGAGAACCGCACGTCTACACCCCGGTCCGTGCCGTCGGCAGTTATGGGCACCCACTCGCCAGTCGGCGAAGGCGTGCCCGACAACTGCATCGCCGCGTATAAAATCACGGCTACATTGATCACTATACTGACCCTAAATATTAAATTACGTCGATTAGTCACCATGTTTAGGTTTTAGGCACTTTCACTTGTAAAACTAGTAATTCGTTAGCTAAAACGTCCTTCGCCGTCCTCTAGGACGTAGTTTCCTGTAGGATCCTGTTCGTGCCAGCATCACAATTTATTCTGTCATCAGCAGGAGGGTGGAGGTGGGCGCCGCGCCGGCGCCGCGCTCGGGAGCCGATCCTGTAACAAATCACATGCCTTGTTAAATACTCGACTCGCTGCGCTGGCGTACACTAGCACGAACGTGTTAATATAGCTACCAACTATGTTACCTGTCTGCGCAGTGAAAAAAGTAAGCATAAGTTTTTTACAAAGTGGAACTTGGTACAAAATGTACGAGAATAGGGTGATAAACGTATCTTGCGTAATAAATATCTGGTAATTGTTTAAAATGCGTCTTTGCAATGCTTGCGCTATCCTTTGTTGGAAACTATTTTTAGCAATGAAGTAATGATAGCAAAAAAAATGTTAAGACAAAACTAACGGCATAAAGGCGTAACTGTAAAGTAAGCTTTGATTTCATTATCTAATTATAACTAAGCCCGGGAGCGGTACCACTATCTCTTATCGCTGATCTCGTCGACTTAGGATTAATTTATCTCCCTTATCTCGACCGTTTACGACGCGTCGAGACACGCGAAGCTTAACTTAAGAACTTAAATACTTGGCACCAAAAATGCGGTTACAATTTTATAGAGAGTACCTACTGGAATGTTGATGTAAATTTAAAGACGTTTCTCCATTATGAACAAACAAAATTCTTAGCGTGAGGCTTCATTAAAGAGAGAGAATAGATCGTTTTATGTAGTAAGAAGCAAAATATACATAAAATGAATAGTCGTGGACGTTCTGTATAACCTACAAAAATGAATATTCGTGGACGTTCTGTATAGCCTATATCCAAGTAAAAAATTCACAGTAAATTGTAAACCCTTGTAGATCATTTTTTTGTAAACCATTTGTTATAAACATTTATTGTAAATCATTGTGGAAGCCCTTGTAGATCATAAGAAAAAGTAACATTTCAAAAAAGGAGGATCTCAATTAGATTATATTTTTTTATGTATATGTTACGCGATTACTCGCATTTGTGAACCGATTTTGATGATTCTCTTTTGTTGGAAAGAGGTACCTCAGAATTGGTCCTAATTAAATTTGAAGAAAATATTCCACCTCTAAGGGAAGCAAACTTGGAGATAAATCCGATTTAGCGCACTTTCCGGTAACCGATTCCAATAAAACTTTGCAAATAGATGTAATTTCACGAACTTTTGTGGTCGGTTTCTTTTTTCATAAAAAAAAGTTATTCGAATAATACTAATGGTAGTAATCTTATGCTTTCCGGTAAATTATTTCTTATCAAAGCTGTTTTGTAACCACCCGTTAACAGTAAATTGCAGTCCTGTGATCGCATACACCTTGCTCTGACATCAGATAACTTTTGTATAGTTTGTCGTATGTTTTTTGAAGACGGAATAAAATCACATTTGTAGGGTTGCCCGTTTTCATAAAAATTTTAATAGTAATTTAGTTGTTGTCGATAGTTTTATCGATAGATTGTGAAAGAAGATAAAATTTTGCCAAAAACTGGATTGTGAATGTTACGACGACGTTCTAATGATAATGTAAAATAACGTAAAATATTACTTTGCATAATTATATGCAAAGAAATATTTTACGCGTTTTAGCGCTAACTGTAACTCAAGATATTTTTACATATAATGTATATTGTATTACCAATAAGACGACATAATTGATTTCAAAAGAAAGTAAAATAAACTTGCCTGTTTTGTAATAAGTTATACACGAATGTTCTTGCAAAAGCCACGTGGTGATATTGTAATGTAAGTTCTTTTCTAACAATCTTTTATTTAATATAATTACATAAAACATCTGGCCGGCCTTGGTGTAGTAACGGTCAACTACGTCCTTGATACTTCGGCCTGAATTATAAAAGAAACAGCGGTATGCGTCATGGGGAACCCCACCTTTATTTGAAAGGACAAAAAAATAATAACGTGGTATTTTAACTACAATAATGACTAATCTAATATTAGATAAAGTAAAGAGTTGTATCTTTCATTATAGCTTCCACGTTTATGTTATATATAGATGAAATTTTTACACTATAAATAAATTGGTGAAATTACAGGCACATAGGACTTTTCAACTTATGTTAGCGGTTGAAAGTACTGAGTGGGACTAACTCTGAACTCTTCGACTTCTGAAGTTTCGAAATATTAGCACCAAAAGTTTTGTTTTTTATATTTTATAAAATGTCAATTACGTAAATTTTGCTTAAAATAAAACTTAAATGAAATAAGATATTAAAAAAGTAATGGATTAATTATTAATTTATTATTAATTGTAAATAAATTGTAAAGTAATTTCACAAAAAATAATTTAACATCATGGTGGTGAAACATACTGACACTCATTAAAACTTAATTACAATACAGTAGTTAAAAACCAAAACAAAGATCTGCAACAAACGCATGAAAAAATCATTCTCTGTTGGAAAGTCAAAGACAAAATTGACTTCCCAAAAAAAAGTGAGGAACGTTGGTCAGTTCAGTGGTTTGATTGGCATTGCGTTTGACACGGTTTGCTAGGAGACGTTGATTCAAATCCAGCCGGAAGCTGGTTAGAGGGGATAGATCTGATTTCACTGATACTAGAAATATACCAGTAGGGCAAGCACAACAGGGCAGGACATGCGAGAGCGACATAAAACGCGAGATAAGCCTGTTCTCGCATAGAGATCACGCGCTTTATGTCGCCCTCGCACAAGTCGCGCTCGGTCGTGCTAGCCCTACAATAACTGAATTTCTCTAAAAATGTTGGTTACGTTAGTTATGATAAGGAGACCAGAAGTGCTATGGACAGGCGTATCTCTTACCACCAGGAGCACGACTTGTTCGTATTCAAGTATGTCAAGTGACGGGATTTGGTATTAAAAAAAAAGATGATATTTAAGGAGACTGGGAGTGACATTTTCTTAAGAAAATTATCTTTAGTAGCAGTAGAGCTGCTTGTGAAAGAGTTCGTCCAGCGAAGTACTACCACCTTACCTATTTCTGCCGCCAAGCAGTAATGTGAGCATTACTGTGTTCCGGTTTTGATGGGTAAGGGCGCTGGTGAAATTATGGACGGACGCAGTGACAATGCCCCTAATATCTTTGCGATTCAAAGCTCTGAGTGGGACTCGTCAACTTATGTCTCAGGGTGACGAGCGCAGTGGTAGCGCCCCTCGATCGTTGCAATTTAAAGCTCTGACCGCCATTGCAACTATTATAGATAGCCGTGTCGTTCGTCCCGTCACTATTAAATGTATTATATCAATAAAAAAATCGCCTCCTTAAATAAAAAAAAGTTTATTAGAAACGAAAGTTTACAAGTCCCATGGTCGCGCCGAATGAGATGATGAAAAAAGGTTATGTTTAAAAAATGTCTACTTTAATCATCAGTACTAGTCTAGATACACAAGAACTTTCCCGAGATACAACTACTTGTGAAAATTGTGTAAACAATTAACTAATACCAGTACAAAGAATAATTTAAAAAATCATTAGTTTCAATTTTGCAAGGTGCATTACAATAATTTTAATTTATCCTAATTTCCACTATTAATTAGTTTCAATTTTACAAGGTATATTACAATAATTTTAATTTGTTCTAATTTTCATTATAAAATTTAATTTGATTGAAATGCATATTCTTAAAATAAAATCATTTGTAAAATGTATGTAGCGTAAAACGGAATGTTCTTTGGAAAATTAAAAGAAAATTAAATAACTTTTTTCAAAATAAATTTACTCCTTTTGTATTGGCAACTATAGTGAAAAATAAGGTGGTTTGGATTAATATTAGACATAACTGATTGATGACTTAACTATGCCAGTCAGCCGTGACCATGGGAACTGCAAAGAGCCCCAATCGTTGGTTTGTTTGACGACCTCGGTGACCTAACGGTTTATATTGTGGGCGCTGGAAGCGGAGGTCTCGGGTTCGATTCCCGGTAGGACCAATTTGGGAAATTAACTTTTCTAAATAGGTTCTGGTCTGGGTGTTACGGAAATGGCCCCAGAGTGAATTATGTTGCTCTAGTACTTATAGTATGGGGAATTGTCTAGTTTCATACCAGGCAATTCGTGTGGTTGTTTGGCCCATTACTTTGGTACATTGTTACATTGCTTGAAAAACAAATAAACGCGATTAAGATCCGAAAAAAATTGTTTCAGGTGTTTGCGCATTTTATCCAGCTCGTGTTTGTTCCTAATCCGAGACTATACAAGACTAGAAAACTCGGACTCACTTCGGATATCGCTTGTGCCCTAAGTCCTATTCGAATCTGAGAAATTACGAATATCGCTTGTACACCTAGAAATAAAAATATAATAAAATGATCCCTGTGACGTTTCGGACCGTCAATTCTCGGATTCGGAACTGGGGGGTCTACTCTCGATCTCCGTCAGACATACGTCCGAAACAATTACTGTCAAATAAGTAATATTCGACAAAATTAAAAGACAGGTATCCAGTATGAAGCTTCAATCGCATCACGCGTCTTCTCATTTGGTCAAGTATTGTTTATTTGGCAGTAATTGTTTCGGACGGATGTCGGACGGAGATCGAGAGCAGACCCCCTGATACGCATCGGACGTAATGTGCAAATGGATAATCGCGAAAACCTAAGAACACGAAAGTAAATATGTCAAAAATTATAAAAAGTATATAATAATGATGAACGTGTACAGAATAAACAAGCATTATTAAAACAAAACTATTCAGAGATTCAAACAAAAATCATGCAATAAGACGTAAGTTATGACTTGATGAATGCAAAGTACTAGACTTTATTTACAGAATTATTATCGGTCAATTTAAATTTTAATTGAATTGATTTTCATTTATTTTTTATGTGAAATTACTCCACAAAATACAATTTAAATACACTGAATAGCGACATCTCTAGCCAGGGCTAGTAGCTGCAAAGGTATCTAACTGGGTGACGAAACGAAAACTTTCATAGATTTCTCATAGATGGCGCTACAGCTAAAAGAAGTCATTGAAAAACCAAATACGACAACAAGCACATAGAAAAATTCGTGAAGTCCGCTGGTTCGTTCCGTGGCTTAGTTGGCATAGCACGGTTTGCTAGGAGACTTCGGTTCGGAAGG